CACTTCCATAGACTTTCCAAATAGGAAAGTCCTGCCTAAATGGCAGGAAACGGGATTCACGTATTAGAATGTATTTCGAAAGCACATTCCCAATCGTTCTATTTGACAGTCTTTCTGCCGCTATGTTACACTCCAAGAACATGCTTGACCTATATTAACTTTCCCTGAAGAGTTCTTATTTTCTACCTGTTTTTCTTTAAGTTGTGGGATAAAAAACCTTGTCAGTTCATTCATTCATTCATTGAACAACTATTTATTAACTACCAACATGTACAGGGGAAATTCCAGGCTCTCACAGAGCTTATGCACTAGTGGAGGAAGACAGATATTGTCAACTAGGCAAATAAATAAACAAGATCATTTCAGCTTGTGATGAGAACTAAAAGAGGAAGATGTGATGGAGGATGTGGGCAGGTGATCAAGATAAAGTTGGTTGGGGAAGTGCCATTTGAGCTGAGACCCAACCATGCACAGGAACCAGCTCTGTGCAGATGTGGGGAAACACTGTTCCTGGCAGAGAGAAGAGAGAGGAAAAGCAGGTGCAACCATCTAAGGCAGGAGCATGTTTGGCCTGTGCTTGGAACGAAGGAAGGCTTATGTGGTGGGCCCGAGTGAGCCAGGGGAGAACAGTGGCAGATGGAGATCAGAGAAACAGAACAGGATCATGGAATTTGGATTTTCTGCTAGAATGAGAAGTTGGCAGATTTTGGTCAAGGGAGGGGCATAATCTGGTCTGTTTTCAAAGACCACTTTGCATGCTGTGTGAAGAATGGATCTATTTTAGCTTTGTCATTTGGGCTGATACCAATTAATCGAATTCTCCCTGGGTCAGTGAAATAATTATCTTCATATTCTTTTTATTTATTTATTTATTTATTTATTTATTTGCAATTCCAGATTTGATTTTTGATCCCCTTATTCTTCTGCATCTTTAGATGTGACCTCCAGAAATAGTAGGGCCTTTTAGGTAACAACCTTTCCTATCCCCAGAGAACATGACCATAATAACCTTGTATAGGGGGACAATCAGTTTATTGCCTCATACTTTCCTAGAAAATGCAACTGTTTGTCTGACCTGGAAAAGCCATGCTGAAACTATGCTGAAAAACAAGAATTTTTGACAGGTCAGCTATATTTGATTCATGAAAGTGACTCTGTAGTTCTCTCTGAAAGTAGAAACCTGTCCTACCAGATCATTGCCCTCATGACACAGGCCTACCATGTGGCCAATTGGATAGATTTTCTAAGGGAGAGACTTCAGAACTACGACTGAAGGATAAACCATTTGAAGTATGCACTGCATCAGGCCCTGGGCAGATGGGGCAAGTCTGTTCTCCAAGACTTCAGTGTGAACTTGAACAATAACAGTGACAATAGTCAACATTTACTGAGCACTCAGATGTTGCCAAGCATTCACCTAAGCCAGGTGCTGCCAAACTTCTCTAAAGGACCAGACAACAAACGTTTTCAGCTTGTGGGCCATCTGGTCCTGTTGCAAGTACTCAATTTTGCTATTATAGTAAGAAAGCCGCCACAGGTAATATGTAAGGAATGAGTGTGGCTGTGTTCCATTGAAACTGTAGCCCACATGACCTATCTTATAACTTAACATGTATTAACTTATTTAACCCTCAAAACACGCTGTTTAATTTACAGATGAGAACTCGTGGCCCAGAGAAGTCATAGTCACTGGTCCAGATGGCACACCTCACACAGTATAGAGCTGAGGTTCCTGCCCATGCAGGGAGGCTCTAGAAGCTAAGTGCAGAATCACTGCACGTGTGGTGGGGCCAGGAATGGCCCCATGCTTAGCCACCTGTAGACTTCCTTGACAAATTTATGATTTACCTGGTTTCTTTTTTTTTTTTTAGATTTTTTTTATTTTTATTGGGGAATTGGGGGAAGGGAAACAGACAAGTTGCTATCCTTTTGTTCTTCAGTCTAGTCGTGGAGGACGTTGCTTCACTGGCCCAAGTTGGCACCATCATTGCGCTCTTCCCAGGTGAGGCAGATCAGTCGCCGGTTTCTGGGCGGCCGCTCACAGCAGCTGCTGGTCGTTCACGCTGGCTGCTGGCTACACACGGTAGCCCATGGCAACCCACCTGCCGTCACTGGCGACTCATGGCAGCCCAGCTCCAGGTCGAGCTGTTGTTCAGCATCTTAGCTGTAGAGGGCAGTGTCACTGGCCCTCATATGTGGGATCTGAACCGAGGTCCTCTGACATCCCCAGCCAGCTCTTAACCAATGCGTCACTCGGCTGGCCCTACCTGGTTTTTTTATAAGATGTCTATCTCATGGGATTGTCAGAGAACAAAATGCTTGCATTAACACAGAGCTTTGTGGGGAGTTGTCCAGTCACTCCACATTTTTGTGTCCTTTTGGGATAATGTTTGATGGATATCTGGGTCTCTGGGTTACTGGGGACACCTGTGTCTGGGTATGTGGGATCCTCTTGGCAGTTCATTGAAGAATGGTAATATTAGCAGCCTAAAATTTTTCTGCTTCTGTTTTTTCCTTTATACACTTAATGGGGCTACTGCAAGGGTCAAATGGAAGGGAAAGAAATACAGAGAACTATGGAGAGTAAAGAATTTCTGGATTAACTGAAATTTTGTAACAGAGTATGCATACAGTGAGAAACTTTACGTTTCATTTTATTTCTCTGAAAATATGGATAGTATGTGTGTTCATGCTGGGGAACGCTCTTAGATTTTTAAGAGCTCAATAAAAATATTTGGAATTAAAGTTTAATTATTAATTTGCAGTGCAAAGTTTTTATGTAAAATCTATTCCATCTGTGTTAATAACCTTAGTCAAAGAGAAAGTTTGTTGGGTTAGTTTTGAACCCCAAAGCTCACTCTTTGTACATCATTTGTAATGGCATAGATTTCCCTTTTTATGTGTCTATTGAAAAAACTAATGTGTGCAATAGACATTTATTTTATGTAGAACTTCTATTTATGATTTTTATATTTTTGTTCTAAATTTTTATTTTGAAATACTTATAGATTTACAAGAAGTTGCAAATATAGATATAGATATATAGAGATAGAGATGGAGGTCTTCACCCAGTTTACTCGAATTTTATCATCTGCATATCTATATATCTATAGTTCAATATCAAAACCAGGAAATTGACATTGGTAGAATACACAGAGCTTATTTAGATTTCACCAGTTTCACATGCCTCTGTGTGTGTGTGCGTGTGTGTGTGTGTATATGTGTGTGTTTGTGTGTGCGTGCGCGTGTGTGTGCGCATGTGTGTAGTTCTATGCAATTCTGTCACATGTGCAGATGAGTGTAACCACCACCACAATCAGATACACAACTGTTTCATCAACACAAGGCTCCTTTGTGCTACCCCTTAACCCTGGCAACCACTAATCTGTTTTCCATCTCTCTGATTTTGTTATTCTAAGAATGTTACGTAAATGGAGTCATATAGTATGTAACCTTTTGAGATTAGCGTCTTTACTCAGCTTAATTCCTGTTTTGTGTATCAACAGTTCATCTTTTTTATTGCTGAGTATGGATGTACCACAGTTTGTTTAACCACTCACCTATTGAAGGACATTTGGGTTATTTCCAGTTTGGGGATATTATGAATAAAGCTGTTATGAATATTCACATACAAGTTTTTGTGTAAATATAACTTTTCATTTCTCTGGGATAAATGCCCAAAAGTACAATTGCTGGGTCATATGGTAAGTGCATGTTTAGTTTTAAAGAAACTATCAAACTGTATTCTAGAGTGACTATAGTGTTTTATTCCTATTTATTTTAAAGTACATGTCAAAAAAGAAAAATTTCTTTCTTATAGAGTATTAACTGCAATATTTATTATGCATACTTTAAATTTAATTAAATCATTAATTTTACCACCTCATAAATTACAAAATTAATCTTAGATCTGGTTTTAACTGAAATTCATGAAGAGAATGTAATCCTCCTCATGTACCCCCTATCGAATATACTTTATGTAGTTCATCTCTATTGATGTTTACCTCTCTAATATTATAAAAATAAGATAGTCTCCACAGCACTCAAGAATGTGGGGGCTTTTCCCCTCTTTTTATAAGTGGAGAATATAAAGCAAAGTGAAACCAAAAGAGTCTTCAAATATCCTATAGCTTAAGAGTGGAAAATATAAGCTCTTATCTTGATTCAAAAGTAAATGTGGAAAAAACACACAAAAAAACTTGATTTTTATCCTTTTTTTCTTCATATTTTCATGTAGGCAGACCAAAGGAGAAACCTTTTTTCTAAAAAAAAAAAATCAAAAGTGCTTAGAAGCAAAGGTAGCATCCTTACATATAAAGAGCAAACAGAAATGAGGACAACCGGGGTGATATAATTTCACCAACTACAGAAGAAAAAAAGACTCCATGATCTCAACTGCAATATATATAACCCAACTGACAAGTTTTCATTGAAAATTCATTATATGCCAGACATTATAGTAGGTATTGTGGGGAGATGGGAGTTTAACAATATAGAATCAAAAGTATAATGTCATCCAAACACTTCCTGTCCAGTTGGGAGACACGTTGATCCCACATGAAGGGACAGAATGATATACAACAGCATATATATATATATATATATATATATATATATAGTAGTTAATGATAATAGCAGGCACTTACATTGGTTGTAGGCCAAACACTGGGCAGACAGCTTTGCATACGTTACTCACTTGGGCCTCAAAACAACCCTGTGAGGTCACTGTCATCATTCCCATTTTGCAGATGAGGAAACTGAGGCTTGGAGAGTTAGTTAAAATATAACATGTCATTTGCAACAGTCTGGTTTTCCATGCTCACTGAAAATGTCTATCTCATGTACATATCTTTCTTGCTCTGAGGATGGAATGGACAGGTCACCTCCCTACAAATGTGCAGCCTGAACTGGGAGGCAGTCGTCGGATACAGTCTTCTTTGGCCAGATGTGGCACTGAGACTCAGTCATATTAGCATGGCATATTGGCATATTGAACTCACCTGAACTCCAGGAAGCAGGAATGAAAGCCCAGAGCGTTCCCATTCCAGAGAGCTTTATCTCCTTCGCTATTGTTTTCCATCTTTATTTTGGCCACAGAACACTTTTTTCAAACATTTTACACTAAGAAAAAAGAAAAAAACAAAGAATTGCTTTGGTTGAAGAAAAGGGTGGAGGAGAAGCCAGAGTCATACCTGCTTCCCCTACTTCCCACCCCTGGAGGCCCCTGAGAGGATCATATGTAAGTAGTTGCGGCACAAAGCTCTGCTGACTCTTCCTTTTCTGAACCAAGAAGATGCAAAAGTATTACCCTGTTGGTCGCAACAAGATGAGAGCCCTGGTGGGCAGAGGAAGGAGGCCACTCCTCACCTACTTGGGTACTTGGGTACCCTGGTGCCCACAGAGTCCTAATTCACCTGCTCTTCAGCTGCTTGCTAACAGCAAGATTCCACAGTTAGAGCATTTATGTTCAAATGCAAGTACAGTAATACCTTGGTTTGCAAGCATAATTTGTTCTGGAAACAAGCTACTCGTATTGTAAAACATCACTCGTTTACCATGTTAAAATGTATTAGAAATGTTTGCTCATCTTGCGGAACACTCGCAAAACAAGTTACTCGCGAGTAACTTGTAAATCCAAGGTTTTACTGTATTTTCAAAGTGGTGAAAGTTGAAGCTATTGTCAGTCATTTGCACCTAAGTCTGATAAAGAGTCTGAAAGTTTTTAACAGCTAGGAGACAAAATAAAACACAGAGAAAGAAGGCAAAGATTGTCCAAACTAGGAAGCCAGGGGGCTAAAAAAAAAATCTCCACTTTATAACGTTGCTGAGATCCAGCCTTGAGTGTGAAGTTTCTGGCTAGAAGCCTTCCTGCTGATTCGAGCAGGTGAAATCCTGCCAGAGCCCAGGCAGCTCAAGGCACAAACCAGCTGGACAAAGCATTTGCTTGGACTCGCGTACAGAGCTTTAAATAGCAAACAATGCGTAGGTCCAGATTTCAGAATTTGATATGGAACAAGAGGTCATTTAGCCGCTCTTTAAAACAAGCAAATCTTTTGAAGTCGATGTCATTGCTTCCAAAATTATTCTGTATTCTTCAGAGCCTTTCTTTCTTACTTTGGCACCATGTGGCTTACTTTTGGTTTCTTAGATTAAAAGAATATGATAAATATATTCAACATTTGAAAAAAAAAAAACCAAGGCCAAAGTTATACATTTTCAAGAGAGAGAACTTTCACCTTTAAGTTTCTGATGTGAGTCTCTGATACTCTGCCAGGATTTGATGTTGAGCCATTAATCCATTAGGATGATATAAAAATCCGTGTCTTCTGCCCCATGGCCCACAGCTAGAGGCATTCAACAGAAAAGCTGACATTACAGATGATGGCTTACAGAGCCCACTGGCAGATTTCAGGGTCAGAGATTTCCAAAACAGGAAAATTTCCTAGAGAGTTTCTATGTAAAGGTTCTTAAAGGCAAGCCTCTCTCTTTCGACTATTCTGAACCACTCATCTTCACTTTGTGGGGAGCTAAAAGATTAAAACAAGATGCCAGATGGAGCACACATGCTTACCTCTCCAAATCCTTTCCATTAACAGGATACATGTCTTTAAAATAAGAAAGTAATGCTAGAAAACAAGAATGATGGTAGATTTAGACATTTTGAGAAGTCCCTGAAAGACGGCAAGAAGACAGCACTGAGGACAGGGGACACTGTTGGAGGGGCTGCTGTGGAGGTGGGAGCTGTTTTGACAAGTGCTCCCAGCCTCGGATGCTGCCAGATGTGGGGAAATGGGACTCACACACTATTGAGAGTGTATGTTCGTGAGGCTTTACTGACTACACAGTGGCGATATGGATCATTTTAAATGTGTACAATTTTCTATCCAAAAATTCCATCTCTAGATATTTTCTCTGGAAAAATACATATATATGTGCCCAACGAATACAAACAAGATCTTCATTGTGGGAATGATTGAATTATGATGTAATCACTTAATATATTTATAACAGTGGGGAAAAAAACTGTACTGATATATAAATGTCATGTGCTAGCGTGTGAAGGTCTCCATGATATTGTGGTAGGTTTTTAAACAGTTTTCTAAAAGTAGAACAACCCATAGAACCTGATTCCACTTAGGTTAAAAAAAATTTCATTGGCTATTTTTCTATATGTAAACTTGGAAATATATATAGTGTATGTATATAATGGATATAAAGTTGTTTGGATGAATCTATATCAAACTGTTGGCCATGACTGCCTTCTTCGTCTATATATTTTGAGACTTGAAAACAAATTAGAATGTATTCATGTATTGTGTAAATTTTTTAAAAATTAAAGTTTTTAGAACAGAGAGGAAAACATATTTTAAACATCCAAGGTGCTAGATTTAATGAATTTTTAATTAATAGAGTCAAGTAAACACATAACTGTACTTATTCTGAGTCTCATAGTTTTAAAAACTGCATTAATAGGAGTTATGTTAGGCAGGGGTGGGTGTTCTGGCTTCCACTAGGCCTCATGATGGCGCCCTGTTACGACTGCTCCACTGGCACTGACTGGGGTGACACTACCCCAGAGGGAAGGAGGAGGAATGCCTTGTTACTATCCACAGAGGCTGGAATTTCAGGCCCCCACATGGTCTCACTCACCACCATGGATGGAGGGGTTACTTCCTGACAGGAATGAGTCTCGGCTTCCTGTTTGGCCTTTTCTGACACTACCTCCTTGCAGCCAGGTGAGGCTCCCCACTCAGCCTTCACTGGGATGGGGCCACAGTCTTCTCTGTGGTGTTTGACTGGAGTAGAGCGATTATTACCTAAAAGTTTTCTGCCTTGCTAGGCTGCCCTTTTCCTGGTCCTTTGGCTAGAGTGAGCGGGCTTTTGTTGGGCCTTTTTGTGTCTGTACCCACTGGCTTTTCTGGGTGGCTAGCTTCTTTAGCTCCAAGTCAGGGATATAAGAGGCAGAAAAAGAAAACCCAGGGAAGTCAATGCCAAGTTGTTCCGTGGGTTCCTGCTGTTTGTAGATGGTCTGCCTTATCTCTCCACCATTCTGTCTTTTTATTTTTGTTTTATACATAATGTCCAGGGTTTTTAGTTGTACTTAGTGGGAAGAATGGGGAAGAGTGTATCTATTCCACTTTCTTAGAAGTGGAAGCCCACTTTTTCCTTTTAAAATGTTCTCTATTTTGGTTTAATTTACCATATATATATTTATTTATTTATTTATATTTTTATATATATATATGCATATATATATATATATATATTTTACTCTGACAAGTGAAACAATTAAAAGGTGCAATAAAAAAACCTTAATAATGTAAACTTCACCTTCGCTACCCTCTTATTATTACCCCACTTTCCAGGACAACCAATTTCCAGGACAACCAATGCACATGACCTGGGGTGTGCTCTTGTCATCTAATGTTTTTCTCCGTGTTAATGTGAACATACATAAACATAAGTATGCACTTTTTGTTTGGTTTTGTTTTGTAAAACTGGTCTTCTCCTTGTCAAAGGTAAGCAAGCTTTGCATTGCATTACAGTTTGGAAATTACTGGAAGCACTATTATTAAAACACTGTGGAGACGAGGCAAGCAAAGTGAACTAACCGCTGTGGCAAATAGAAGACACTCTGCACTTTCAGTGTGTGGGAGAAAAAAGACAGAGAAGGGAAAGGAAAAAGGGAAAAGAAAATGACAACTAGTGATGTTCCTGAGAGTGTACATATATTGGAAATGATTACAGTGGTTATAACTTACAGCCTATAATACTTTTCTGCATTCGGAATCTGATTCTGGGATATACTGAAGATGGGGAGCCTGAGGGCCAGGAGGTGCCCAGGGAGTGGACTGTGGGAAAGATGACTGTGAGTATCATTGTGTGAGTGCCCAGGAGCCACTCAGAACCAGGTCCTAACAGAAGTGTGTCTTCCTTCTCTCTGGCAAGCATCTCCCATTGCCGCACCCGGGGCCTCGAGGGTCCCGTTAGCCCACAGGGCGAAGTCCCTTCAACAGCACCCATTCCTCCCAGCTCAGGACCATTGTCCAACCAGAGGGGCTGTGGAGGTGGCGTTCTGGCGCCTCTGCTTTGGCAAATGAAGCGGAGCAGGCTCAAGACCACAGAGCCAGGACAGAAGACAGCGACCTCCCTCTCCACCAACATGTGTGATTGGGGAGTCTTGACAGCTAAAAGGGAAATAAAACTTTTTTCTTAGAAGCAGGTCTGCTCAGCGCAATGACAATATTGATCTTTCAGAGCCCTGTGGTTTCAGGAAAGGAGAAGGCCTATTCTCCAGAGCCCAGATCTGTGGGACTCACATCACACTACTGTCAGCTTGCTCTTAGGTGACAGTTCTTAGGTGGGGTGAGGCCAGGCCTCTTGAATGACAGGAGCAATGCACACACTTCTTCTCCACTTTTATTCAAGTCACACGGTCCACTGAAGGTCTGGCCACAAGAATGAGGGTTGATAACACTTGGTTATCTTCTTATGTAAATAGCAGCTCAAGGCACAGACTCTATAGCCTATGGCCTGGGTTTCAATCCTTGCTCCAAGCCTTGTGAACTGTGTGACCTTAGGCAAGTCACTTATCCTTTCTCCTCCTTGATTTTGTTCTTTGTAAAATGGATACAATAAACATAGGCCTGATGTGAGGATTAAGTAAGTTAGAACAAAGCCAGATATGTGATAAACACCCTTAAAGTATCAACTAGTTGGTTATTACTGTCTGGTTTTCTCAAACTCAGTGCTTTCCATGAATGCACAGAGAAACTATGGTGCGTTTTTAAGAAGCTCACAGTGTTCTTTCTGAGTTTCATCCCTCTCCTTGGATCATTATAGGACAGAGGGAATAGGAAGTTAGAAAAGTAAGTGGCCATCATGGAAAGGGCTGGGAAAGCCACCTTCTCTGAATAATGAATCTGAGAGTGGGCGGGAACAGACGGAGAGATGGCTGGACAGCTATATCTAACCAAGGGCAAGGGAAACGAGGTATGTATAGAAAGTCACAGTTGTCTTACAGATTGAAAATGATTGGCAAACAGTGCTCTGCTTCATTTAAAAATATCGTAGGAAGCTTCTGAATCAGCATCTACCACCTCTGTGGTAGAACTTGGGAAGGCTGTGGAGGAAGGTTTTCTCTCC